TCTGCGAGTTTAGTGCAAAAACGTATGATCGCACCGGAGAGCCTGGTGCGTTCCAGCCTGGGTTTGCACATGTGCAGAAGCAAAAGCGCACACTGCGACGACCCATGGTGTGTGTATATTTGTGTGTGTGTGTGTGTGTGTGTGTGTGTGTGTATGCATGCGTGCGTTTGTCGGGTATTTCAGCTTGCCAGCCAAGTGAAATTTTGCCACTGGGCTCCTCGGTCAAGTGCCGCCTCAGAACCGCGGTATAAATCTTCACGCACGTCTGGGCTTCATGTACGAGCATGTTAAAAGTTTTGGCGGAAAAATTACCAACTCGGTAACCAGAAAAGCTGGGAGGCTGAAATTTTAAGGGGGTGTCCCCTCTTCAAGTACCACATAATTGCACAATTAACTATCTGTTCTTGAGGATCAGTATGTCACGAATTCTAACTACTGGGATTCCAATCGATGTTATTATAGCACGAAATACTGCAAAAACGCATGGTCGCATGAACCTCCTGGTGCGCATCGCCAATCATTTCATATTTATGCAGGTGCAAAAATATGTGTTGCGACAACCCGTTATGTGTGTATGTTAAGTGTGTATGTGTGTGTGTGTATGTGTGTGTGTGCTTGTGTGTGTGCGCGCGTTTGTTCGGGTATTTCAACTTGGCAACCAGGCAGGCGTTGACGCTGAAATTTTGCCAGTAGTTTCCTTGGTAAGCGCTACACCAGAAACGTGGTGCCAGGTTTCAAATTTGTCTAAGGCAGGCGTACAGACACGTGAAAGTTTTGGTAGGAAAATTGCTATCTCGGGAACTAGAAAAGTTGGAAAGCTGAAATTTTAAGGCGATGTTCCCTGCCCAACTGCAATTTAAAGACTGGAAATTCAGTTCCTAAGCACATCTGGCCTCATGTGTAAGCATAAGTGAACGACCGATCACAGTAAATTATTCATTTCCCTTTATGCAAAATTAACAGTAATGAGTGTACAAGTTAAGTGTAAAGCAGCAACCATTCATACAGTTAATGACTTGACTGCTTCCAGTTTAGCGCAAAAACGCGCGGTTGTGTCGGCAAGCGTGGTACGTTGCAGTCTCGGTTCAGTTTTATATCTAATTGGTTGACTTAAAATGAGGGGTGCTTATTTAGATGGCAATTGCTCACCGGAAGAAAGGAAAACACGAACTCAGTGGTGGGGTAAACTTGACACCGGTAAAACTGCGCATTCTAAAGAATCGAGAAATGCTGGGGACGCTACGAATCAGTATCTGCTAAATACTGATGGCTCAGCAACATGTTTTGCAAGTCAAGCTTCTGGTTTGCAAAATCTTTTTGTGTTGTTCAGAAACAACTGAATGATCCTCAGCGATACGGATGACTGCACGCCCGTGGCTCGAGGAGTTTTGACTGTATGCCAAATGTCATTGATGATAATGAAAGAAAATATGTGTGCAAGTGATTAACTTCGTTAACCTACCAAAAAGCGAGTAGACTAATGTTAAGAAGCTCCGTATGCCGCACCTGCACTTGGCTGCATCTCAAATGAGATTGTTGGCTAAGCATCGATGGTCTGGTTGTTCTTAGGAGATTACATGCAGGATCTGAGTTTCTTATCTCTTGTTGTGTCCAGATGCTGATCGGAACGCATTATTAAACAATCTGATTTCTGGAAATGCGCTAACGAGTAGTGATGGTTTTCATGGACGAGCATCTGTTTCTGATGATGACGATGAACCTGCGAATGTTATGTCATGGACTGAATCACCGCAAACCAGCGATAAGTTAATACAAATTGAATTGCGGAAATCACAGTATAACGGAGGATATTTCACAAATTAAAGACTTACAAAAAGCAGAAAAAACCAAAAATTATTGGATAATGTGTTCCTAACATGCGTATTAGATTTTGCTAGTCACCATTACACTGCCTGAGTGCTTGTTCATTTGCTACAGGGAGTTTGTACCGCACAGTGATACTCTTTTCACTCATTTAATGTTTATAAGCCCACAAAATTGAGAGTTTGTTTTGAAGATAGAGTGGTTCGAGTTTTTACCAGTTTGTGAGGCCACTGGCACAAGGCTGGGCATGACCATGAAAACTCAGTTCGATTTGTGTGACTTTGTGAACTGGAGCATAAAAACTCCGAGTTCGTGGTTTTCTATGTTTTCGAGTTGTGAACCGAAAATTTTTAAAACTCCAAAAATCAGCTTTGTTTGGACCAGAAAATCTCTTGGACCGGACGCCGGTTTCTGGTCGATGGCATTACAAATTATTTTCAAAGCCGCAGCTTCCTAATTTGAATGATCCGGATAAGGTAAGACATCGAGAAGAGGAAGAGGGTGGGCTTAGAGTAATGCGGACGAAAATGGACGGTGAGTGAACTAAGGTTGCATTACTGCTTTCAACAAGGTCGCTCAGAGTGGCAGTGTAGGGCTTTTGATTTCGCTGAAATAGTGTCTATGTGCTGCATTCAAATCGTGCATTTTAGAACTCGAGAAATACAAGTCGGGGAGAGTTTTGGACTTGCACTAACCTGTAACTGTGATGATCGCGTAGTGCAGTGTACATTGCTACGTTAAACAGTTTAAAGCATGATGTTGTGTAAGCGCTTGCAAATAGTGCTAAGCATATGAAATTAGCATGTTAGCGCAAACATTGCTTGCCATATATAAGCACTTCACTGAATTCGCAGGTTCTGTGGTTTGAACATTCATCGTAACATTCATCATCGACGACGCTCCTCACAGGTTGCTGAACAAGTTTGGCGAATGCGGCAAAAGAAGCAAGCTCAGGGCCTGAAAGATGAAAATTTATACAGTAGCGATAAGGTTCTCTATTTTCTAATTCAAAACTGTGGCTGGAAATAAGAAAGATACTTTTTTCTCAGACACAGGGCTCTTGTAGTTTCCACCATATGCGAATGCATCTTAGAAGATTGGGATTCACGATGGTTACTTGGACCATCTTAGCGATTTTCAGATACTTCTGTTCCTTATCTCACACTTTTCCCACTTCGTCAGAGGGCTAAAACTGTAACGATTGCACAGCGCGATTTAGTAAAGGCGTGCCAGAGGGTAAAAAAAGAAAAGCTAAACCACGCTAATGGCTGAAAATGGGGCTATTTCTTCGGTGCTGATGCAAATGAAAGGGATGAAGACCCTAAAGTCCTGCAAGTGAAGAATTTGAAAACTGCCTCAGGGGGCGCGATATTTAAAAAGGGAAGTGCAAAAAATATTCAAAATGGAGCAAAATCTGGCCCCTGTTTGGCAGAATTGCACCCTTTTAGCTAATTCTTGCGTATCCCTGGCTTATTTTGTGCCCATCGAACAAAACTTTTTTACATTTCTCTTGAATAATTTTGACCCATCGTAATTCATAGGATCCTTTGCCCAGCTGTTGCATTTCTTAGTAGTTTTCTGTGACTTCTTTTTAGATGAGCGATTTTTCATGCCTCAAAATGTAATTTCATTGACCAGTCCGCCGAAATCAAACAACTAATCAAAATTAAGGAAGCATGCATCATTTTCGTCGCAGGCCGGCAGCTTTTTAAAATAAATGGCAACGCGCACCAGACTAACCGGTGCGATCATGCGTTTTGTGCAATTCAGCCCATCGAACGATTGCCTATTCTCAATGCTTTGTACTTTAGTCTATGCAAAAATAGTTCAAACATTGGAAAACAATTAAAAATTTCACGCACCAGCGTATGAAAGCTGAATTCGAAACCTTGAAGGATGCCTTTCCGTGATTCCCGAGTTAATAGTTTACCCGGCAAAACTTTCACGAGGCCGTAGGTGGAACCCGAGAGCGCGAGAACGCTGAATTTGAATGAGGAAGGTTGAGCGGGACAGGGGGTCACTACCCTAAAATTTCAGCCTTCTAGACTCCGTGGTTCTCGGGATATTAACTTACCCGTAAAAAACTTTCACAGGGCCGTACACGTTACCCGCGGGTATGGGGAAGCTGAATTTAAATTTGCGGAATCACACGTGGGTGGGGACGTTACCCTAAATTTTCAGCTTCCTAGCTTTTGTGGTTCCCGAGTTGAAAGTTCTGGACAAATTGCTGCGAGCACACACACACACAAACACATACACAGACAACCCCGTAACAATATGTGTTTTGTACTACTGTTACACAGCACAAAACGCATAACAAACAGAAACTGAGCGCTTCATTTGTTTATAAATTTGGGATCACTGAAGAAATCAAGAAGCCTAAATTCCAGGAAGCATTGTCAGCTGCAATTCCAGTTTCCGATGAACACGGTAAGTTGAAAATAGCTGTTGACAGATTGCCGATTCTGGAACATTCTCTATCGCAACGCAAAGCTTCCGATTCAGGCCACTTACGCCACACCGGAGCTTTGCTGGCCAGGTTTGTCAGTATATCCATCAGTAAGCATTCAAGAAAATAAGCAAGCAATACTTTGTTGTCCGTATAAAATTCGTCTCGAGTGAAGCATTGCTTTTTCTGACAACCTATATAAATCTCAACAGTAAGTAGCATGCGCACTGTAAGAAGCAATTATTCAAGCTGCCAGAAACATGACTTATACTGCGTTTGGAATAACACGCTTGGCCCGAAGTAATTCTAAGCAACTAGAACTGTATGAGCATAATACTGCTTTGCCTGGTAACAATTAGGGCATCTAATTAATAGTTCAAACAGTCACTGTGAAGTGAGTCCAGTTGTTCACGTCTCTTTTTTATGCGCTTTTATGCTTTTTTTGCATATATTTAAATTGCAAAAACGCATATTGGGAAGAAGCTGTGTCTATGTATGTGTTTGTGTGCGTGTGTGTCTGTGTGTTCGCACTTTTTGTCACCCACTTTCAACTCGAGACTCAGAAAAGCTAGAAAGCTGAAATTTTGGGGATATGTGCCCATACCCTACGGGCGCCTAGGTGGCGCGTACCGGCGCTTTAAAAAAATATGCAAATTTTTTGGCGGGGAAGCGATCTCGGGAACCACACGAGCTAAGACGCTGAAATTTTGTAGGAATATTCCCTGTGCATGAACTAGCTAAAGATTTCAATTTCAGCCCCCAGGTATGCCTGGTACTCACGCAAGAGCGCTTGAAAGTCTTAGAGGGAAAATTGATAACTCGGGTACGACGAAAGCTAGAAAGCTGAAATTTTGGGGGAATGTTCCCTATCGA